ACATATTTTTAAATTTTCGCGGTAAGGTATAATTTTCTTAAAACATATCCGGTAAATCTTTGTCATGGAGAAAGAAGAACTTCCTCTTTCTTCTAGATTGTACCCGTGTAATCTCTGCCAAGGTAAAAGAATTTTTCTTTATATTTATATAATAAAATATAAGTTATTTATTTCTTATATAAAAATAATTTCGTAATAATATTATTTGCATTATTTTATATTAATAAAATATAAATAATATATTTTTGTATATTTAAGAGAAAATAAATATGGTTATAAGCACATGGTTAATCAAATTTTTTAACTTGCAACTATTTCTATGTTTATAATTTATAAATTTGAATATAGTATTAATAAATATTAATTTGAAGTTGAATAAATATTAATTTATATATTTTTAAATATCATATATAATAATGAAATAATCATACATTATCATATAAATCAATTGAATATTATATGAAATTAACAATTATACGATGTTATGTACGTAATTTTTCTAAATAATATTTCTAAAAAATATTTGTATTTTACATAATTTCATAATATTAATAAAATATTATATATTAATATATATAATATTATATTAATTAAATATTATAATAAAACTTATTTAAAATTGAATAATATTGAAATAAAATGTCTGATAAATTGAAAATTAGACAAAATCAGAATCTGTGTGCAGATTAAAAAATTGTAAACTCTTATCTAACTTTAATTATGAAAAATCTTATAATAATAATAATGAATTATATTTTAATAAATTATTTTTATTTTTAGTCCTTAAATTAATAAAATATCCCTATACACATTAAGATGGGTAGGGAGGACAAGGCAACATGGAAATCCAATTATTTTACAAAACTTGTCGTAAGTATTTTTAATATTACTTTAATATAATAATATTAATAATATTTAATATAGATAAATATTTTAATTGAAATATTTATAATTTATATTTATACTTATATTACATATATTTTTTGTATAGCAACTATTGGATGATTATCCTAAATGTTTCATTGTGGGTGCAGACAATGTTGGTTCTAAACAAATGCAACAAATCCGTATGTCTCTTCGTGGAAATGCAGTTGTATTAATGGGAAAAAATACTATGATGAGGAAAGCTATCCGTGGTCATATTGAGCGTAATGCAGCACTTGAGAAACTTCTTCCACATATTCGTGGAAATGTTGGTTTTGTTTTTACCCGTGGAGATTTAATTGAAGTGAGAGACAAACTTTTAGAAAATAAAGTCAGAGCACCAGCTAGAGCAGGTGCCATTGCACCATTGAGCGTAATTATTCCTGCTCAAAATACTGGTCTTGGTCCTGAAAAAACCTCATTCTTTCAAGCTTTGAGTATTCCAACTAAAATTTCTAAGGGTACTATTGAAATTATTGTAAGCATATGAACGAATTTTTATTAATTTAATTTTTATATTTATTTTTATATTTAATTATAGTCGAATCTCAGAAAAAAAAAATCAAAATCTTCAAATTATAATGGATATTAAAAAGTTTTTTTTAATAAGAAAAATCTAATAAACAAAAACAGATAAAAAGAAAGATATTGCATAAGTTTTAATATTTGTCTATTTGCAAGAGTAAAAGAGAAGGAAAGAAATATATATATATAAAATATATTTTATTTTCATATAATTGAAACAATTATAATAATCATATTATAGTTGGAAAAAAAAATAGTAATTTAATAAATAAATTAAATAGTTAGTTAATAATAGATTGTAATGTATAATTATTAGAGATGTATGAGAATCTAAAAATGTTAGGGATTCGATGTTCGAAATGAATTGAATTCCAAAAGTATTTTATAATTCGATTAATTCGATTATTATTGAAAATATCAAAATATTAAGGAAATACTTACTCATAGAATTAAAAGAATAGTTTCGAAATCGGAAATTTTTACAATTTCAAATTGATGTTTTCACGAATTTGATTGTGAAATGAATTTTCAATCCAATCCGGCCCAATTTTCAGGTTCTCGCATGTCTAATAATTATTTATAGTTATAGAATATATATTATATAATATATATTTATAATTATAGAATAGAATTATAGAATAATAATAATAAAATCACTGATAATAAAAGTTTGAGATCGAATTTCTCTAAATTCGAATTATAAGTAAAATGCTTTTCAATATATAACAAATAATTTGACTTATACAAAGTTTATATTTCGATAAAAATTTTTTTTAGTAAAATAAAAAGAAACAAAATTATAATCTTATTGAGACTCGACTTTATATTTTATATAAATATGAATTAATATATTTTCATATAAAAAAAATTTATTTTATTATAT